CTCTCTCTCTCTCTCTCTCTCTCTCCTTCCTCCCTCTTGGAATCCCCGCTTTCACCTTCTCTCATTTTCTTCCTCTCTCTCCTTATTCGCTTGCCTCCGCCCCCCCCCTCCCCTTCCCATTCTCCTTTGCCTCCCCATTCTCCTCAAAGGAATGAGGAGAAGACAGGAAAATCTAATCTAGTTTAAGCACAGTATATAGGCCTACTCCATTGTAACGCCAGAAATAAGACCTGGAATACACTCCTACTCCACGCTAACTCCTGGAATGGGAATTTTGGGAATTGGATGCACTCCTTAGAAACTCCAGAACATAGAATGAATATTCCCGCCCTGCCTCATATCTTCCAGAAATCGTGTAAATGAATAGATAAGAAAAAATCCTTAGGAATGCAAGAAATTTAGAAAGGAATTTATTTTTTTTTCTCTCTTTTTCATTTACTCCTTCTCACTCCCCTTCCTCATCCTTTCTCCTCTCCCTTCTTGTTTTTTTTCATTCGTCGTAAAATAAGCAAACAAATTCACAGATAAAATGCATGCATACCAACCGCCCCCCCCAAAAAAAAAATAATAACAATAAATAAATAAATAAATAATAAAAAGAAAAAAAAAATGAACCGCTTTGCCTTTTTTAAAATTTCATGACGTGTGCGAGGCTTAAAAACAGATAAAGAAAAACGTGCTAGTTAATACCGTTTCTTCGCCGTACAGCTTACCACACTCCCAGGAATACGGAAATACGGGAATTTGGTTTTATACGGGAAGTAAAACTCGAAAAAAAAATAATACAAACGCAATATATATAATTGTATGGTATACAGTTCTGTGTTCTATGATTAGAAAGGAAGAGTGAAAAGAAGAATGGGGGGATAAGAGGAAGGGTGGAGGAAACGAAAGAGGGAAGAGGGGTGGGAGGAAGAGGAGAGGAAGGGAAGGTGGGAAGGAAAGACTAAGAGAGAGAGAGAGAGAGAGAGAGAGAGAGAGAGAGAGAGAGAGAGAGAGAGAGAGAGAGAGAGAGAGAGAGAGAGAGAGAGAGAGAGAGAGAGAGAGAGAGAGAGAGAAGAGAAGAAGAGAAAAAAGAGAGATAGAACAAAGAAAAAGAAAACAAAAGAGAGAGAGAAACAGAGAAAAAGAAAACGAGAGAGAGACAGAGAAACAGAGAAACAGAGAAAAGAAGAAGAGAAAAATAACAACAAAGAGAGAACCCAGCAAGAGGGGCTACGGACGCAACCAATATTACACCGAAAATTTCAACCTCGCGCCAATCCCACTGCCAAATGGTCCAAAATTCCCTAACTCTCCCTTTTCATTATCATCCTGCAATCAACAGAATAAAATGAACTTGAAAATAACAACAGAAATAACCAGCTGATTTTATACAGGAAGTAATACCCGAGAATATTATTGCAAGCGCAGTCTACGGATTATATGATTTCCATTTTTTAATCGGTTAATAACAATAAGAATATCGAATAAAATTGAAACTCAGTATTACTACTACTGATAATAATCATACTGATGATGACGATGGTAAAAAAAAATATCATATTCTTAATAATGATCAAACAGTTAATAATGAT